AAAAAAAAAAAAAAACTGAGGAGAAGTTAGGAACGAAGGGGAGAAGGGAGAAGAACGTGAGAAAGGAATGGAGACGAAAAAGCCGCTTTCAATCAATTTCTCTTTTATTGAAGTAGTAAGTACTTATTAGTAATGTATATATGCTAAACCCGTGGGAATAAGTCATTGTCTTAAAAACAATGGGGTGCATACATAATTAATGAAATTGAATGCATAATTAATGTATGGGGTTATATGGTACTCTTTCCCAAATCTTTCCTATTTTTGCACAAAGTTTTAGGGAAATCTTCAGGTTTTCATGTGCTTAATCAAAAACAAGTGGGAGTGTTTCATCAAGGGCTCCAAATACCGACAATCAGATGAAAGTTAGAGAAAGAGCTGGGAATTAGCTTGAAACCTGGGAAGGGAAAACAAAACATAAGCGCACTGAAGCTCATCCTGTATGAAGAGGTCTGTTGAACGGATAACAGTCGAGGACAAGGTCACTCAATGAACACATGACAGTTTCCACGAAAGAATGAGTGAAGGAAATGGATCTCTTAAAAACCGAGCCAGACCTGTTGGCAGGGCTCACATGAAAAGGGCTCTGAACATATTGAAACAAAACAACAACCAAATATGACAGAAGATTATTACTCACCACAAAATCAGGGATTGCGGCAAGTATGGCGGAATGCACACACAGAAGTAAGGAAAACCTCACTGCTGCTTCAGAACCAAAGTATGAAAAATATAAAGGCAACGATAATGCCCCTGTTATCAATACAATTGCGTTACTTGCCGTTATGAATGTTAGGAAGTTCATGAACGCCATTTTTAGATTTCCCGCATTTGTGTCGAGCCTTCTCTCCTGGTGGTCAGAGGACGATGTAAACGTCAAGTAGAACTTGGTTTAGACATTATGTTGTGTGGCCGTAGTTTGAGACGCGGGCGCACCCAAAAGAGGCGGGAAAGCAAGGATGTAGTTAGCTGGTGTGTGTAGGCCTGTCTTCTTGTAGTCGCCAAAACAAGATCAAGTATTCGAAAACCAGGTAAGTTTTTGTGTGTGGTTTGAAAGGCACGATTAACTTTGTAGATTAATTGATGCTTCTTACAGTCAGTTGTGCGAACGCTGAGCAAACTGAAACAGCTTCACTTTATATTTATGGGGGAGTTGTCGACATATCGAGAGCTCCAAAGGATTGGTCGAAAATTTGGGAAAGGTCGTGTTTATTGGATATTTCGATGGAATTATCATTAAAAGAGAAATTCTGATAGAAATACAGCGCTTTTCAAAAAGTATGGAGGCATTACGATGCATACATGCACTACGATGCTCTTACTGGAACAACAGGTTTTTGTGAGCAAACCATTGCCGTATGTTTAGACCTGGTTGGATTTACAAATGGCGAGATTATGTAAAAAATGTTCCGAAAAGATAAGAAAAGTGCTTCGAGTAAGCGTTAGGTTTGCTTTACCGAGAGTTCTCTGAAGCGGAAATAGGGTCAGATGGATTATGACGGTATAATTTTGGAAATTATTCACCGAACCTGAGGCGAATAATTGTTTTAGTTTAATTTCAGAGCTGAACAATAGAGAAAATTTCAAAAATCATAACATTTTAGTAACATTTATTAACATTTTATTTTAACATTTTATATAAACCGCGTGGAGCGGTTTCTATAGCGTCAATTAAGGAACCGCTCGACCAATCAGATCGCTGGAAACTCTTGCTCAGCTCTGAAATTATACTAAAATACCATATTCAGAGCATCAAACATAGTGCAGGTATAACCGGTCAACCTTCTTAAAAATTCTTCTCATATTTCATTTAAACGAAAGAGAAATTCTGCAGCCTGGGTACATGGTAGAGGGTTTCAATGGGGGGGGGGGGACGGTTAATTTTTTCAGATTTTGACGAGACGGCTAAATTTCAGGTTTGACAGTAATCTGACTAATTTTCGATAATTTTAAGTTGAAATTAAGCTTTCCATCATTTGAAATAAATTGTTAACTATCTTAAGGCCTATTCAGCCTTCCTTTGACAGAGCGGACTAAACACCTTTAATAATAATTTAAGATAAGTTTCCAACGATACCTTACTTCCCACTGTTACATGAACAAACCAAATAAGTAGAATTTTACAGACCTGACTCCGGGAAGCTGGATTCGTCAAGTCAGTTGTCTGTACCTGTTGCATTTGGCGATCAATAACACCTTAATAGAGAGCGCCTTTACATCGAACAGTTCGTTGACATTTAACTCAACATCAGTGACTTCTCTGAGCTGTTGTCGCCCATCTTGATGACATGGCAAAAACTGCGAAGTCGAATCCATTTACTTTCCTTCTCCGATCAAGTCTCCATTAGCTAGTCCGAAAACTTACATTCATTATTGTGGGTATCCCTCGGGGGATTGGGGCGAGCAGTCGAAAGACCGGATAAGAGAGCATGTGACTAAATTAAGAAATAAAAAAACACATGCGGCTGCTTTCTATGGTGGTTGGATGGGTGTGAGAGTGAACTTCTTGGTTGCATGTTCGAGAATGTATTAGTTTCCGTCGAATGTTCACAAGGTAAGAAGATGATGTCCTATCTTGACTCGTGAGCTTTTGTTAAACCACAGGACGTTTGTCAATCTTTACCATGGTCACTGAAACCGAAGCGAATTGATCTTGACGTTGTAACCGGCCGTCTAGCTCTTTCAGTAGGAATTACAATTGTTGTTGACTTAAAATGACCGTGAGCTTTTGTTTTGTACGCGGCATTTTCTTTCGACTTAGCACACTATGGTATGTTTCACCACGATATTTGTACCCTGTTAAATAAAATTTAAGCGACACTTCCTTGAGTTTGGTTGCCACGGTCACGCGAGAATTTAAGTACGCACGAAAGAGTATATTTTTCTACCGACGAAACGCACGAGAGAGTATATTTTCCTACCAACGTAACTCTAGTGAATACGGAAACTTTCAGTCTCACAAATCGCAAAAGTCAGCGAACTTCTATTCCAAAATCCTTTTAAAATCACAAAACTACTCGCCAACAAAATCCGTTTTTGCGATTCAGTCGTTTACTGCCATTCACAAATGGATGAGGTAGTCCCTATTATCTCTTGCGTTTCCTTCAGATTTCGTTCCATGAATATGCCTCCATGGAAAATATCTGAACCTGCCGACAAAGCGTTTTTGATAGACGCAAGCTTACATGATATCAGCGCACTTGTGGACAAAGCTCCAGAAAAACAATCGTTGAATGCCTCTCTCACTGGGATTAGCTTGCTTCAAATTAAACAGAATGTAATATCTGCCTTGTTTCGACGTGCAACATCCGATAGGTCTTTGGATAACGAAAAGTTACCGCGTGCGTTGTCTCCACATCAGAATGCACAGCTCACTTTGACGTGATTTTTTGTCGCAAGACGTTTGGGTTAAACTCGGCGTTTGAGGACGAGGATGAAACAAAAACGAAATTGATATGTACAGTTATTATATTTTCATATTTTGTGGTATTTGCGCATGCACGTAGTCAGTATCCATTAGAAGGGGGTGATCTCGGGTTGAATCCGAGCTCACCTATCGTTTTATTCGTGACGAAGGCTCTATTTAGCATTTTAGACTCGTAATTAACAAATGGTAAACACCACAGCGTACACTATTGAGTTATGGATGTACGCGGGAGGTTGCTAAGGACGAAAGAAGCGTAAGAGTCGCTCGAGGCGATAGCCGAGAGCGACTCTAGCTTCTTGAGTGCTTAGCAAACCTCCCAAGTGCATCCATAACTCAATAGTGTACGCTGTGGTGTTTACCATTTGTTTTATGACATAACATTGATACATTGTAGCTAAAGAGTTCCCTTTTATTTAACAAATCTTACGTGACCAGAAAAAACAAGCGCGCGCGGAAAAATAGTCTTTGTATTAGCTCACGTCAGCAGCGTACACCCATGGGAAAATGGGGGACGCTAAATTGACCAATCAGAGCGCGCGCTTTACTTTGGTTATGTTATAAAATGGATTAGAAAGGAACACGTACTTCGTATTCGCTCTTAAATTTGTACAAGTGTCAAGATATTTGCATTTTTTTCCGTTCCCAACCTAAATTACGGATTCCACCAAACATACTCGTTGACTTCTTTTGACGGATGGCTGATCACAACTAGTACGACGTAGTAACACCTCCATGAAATCTGTCAAAAGGCAGAAATGAAGAGGAACGATACATGTTATGGTCGATTAACTTTCGACGATTGAATGGTCAAAAATCGTAAAGGCGGGAAGTTTGTCATCGTCTGACTTCACGGCCCTAAACCCATGGTCCAAAATGTCGTGAACTGTTGGGTCAGATAAAACGGCATGTTCTAAAACCCTGACGATCATGGACGATAGACGGTGGACAATAGACGATAGTCGGCAGACATAAGACGAAAGACGATGGATTTTGTGACAGAACTCAAAATTATCACGCAATCGCGTTTGTGTCGCATTCTTTCTTTCAGGTGGCGTTACTTCGCTTATCACGCAATCTCGTGAATGTCACATAAATCTTTCTTTACTACAGTCACCTGTCCCCCTGAGTGACCACTAAGGTTACTGTCAACAAAATAGGGTGCCTTCCGGAAAAATCCCACGCACGCTTCCAATACGAAAAATTTCGGTTGTTGTCACGCTCTGGGGCGTCATGAGATAAATATTTCGAATTTCGTAAGAGCTTCACTCTCTTTGGTATGTTAATTTCTGACGAACATTCTGGCAAATTTTCATGAACATCCAACAATGCCACATGCCCTCTTAATTCGTTGTAAAGGTAACTCGCCCAAAAACAAACCTCGAGGTACTAAAGAATTTTATTTGTGCCAAGTTTGGTACTTTTTTCACCTCTCTCACGATCTGGCCAATATTCCGTCTCAAGAGACCTGACTAAGGCAGATTGCTGGGTTATCTCTCAGGGGATTGGGGCGAGCAGTTGAATAATTTAGAGAAGGACATGTGACCTAAGAAAAGGACAAAACACATGCAAATGATTGCTTTTCCGGTTGGATAGGTGTGAGAGCGAATTTCTTGGTTAAATCTGCGAGAATGTACTAGTTTTCATCGAATTTTGCTGAGGTAAGAAAATGATTTTTAAATTGATCCGTGAGCTTTTCATTAACTATAGGATGTCTATCAGCTTTACCACGATCACTGCAACAGAAACGCAATGAACTTGAAGCTCTTAGCAACCGCCTTGCTTTTTCGATGGGAATTACAATTGTTGTAACTGAAAATAATCACGAGCGCGTGTTCTGTGCGAAGCATTTTCGTTTGACTAGACACATGGCATGTTTCTCAAAGTTACTTGTCCCCTGTTTGGAAATACATTAATTCGCTTTTCACGTGTTTACCGTTCTTACGCATTAAATTAATCGGGATTTATGTTTACACAAGAGTATATTTTTCTACCGACGAAACGCACGGAAGAGTATGTTTTTCTACTGACGAATCTCTAGTGAATACGGAAACTTTCGGTCTCTTAGATCGCGAAAGTCGGCGAATTTTCATTTCAAAATCTTCTCAAAATCGCAAAATTACATCTACAAATGTCTATTTTTGCGACCGGTCGTTTAGTGCCGTTAACCGTTGAAAGAGATTGTTAAGTCTAAGTACTCTCTTGCCTTGTTATTACGTGAAGCATGCGATAGTCTTCTGCAAATTAACGAAATGTGGAGCGACTACAGCGTTAGGGCCACTTTTAAAGGAGCATCATTTCGTGGCTCATTTCGCTCGCTAGTGAATTGAAGAACAAGGAATAATGAAAATGCGCGTTATGTCTTTACTCTTTAGTTCGTGAATCGTTTAGCTCGGCATTGGGTGAAAGAACGAGGAATAATCTTTATGCACGTTAGGTCTTAGTTCTACATCTAGGGGCTCGTTTAGCTCGGCAGTGGATGAAAAAAAAAAACGAGTAATAATCAATATGCACGTCTTGGTTCTATACTTTTAGTGACTTGTTCGGCTCGGCGTTGGATGAAAGAATAATGAATAATGCATGTGTACGAAGCAAATGAGCTGGTTCGTTGGATGGATGTTTAAAATTGGCCTTGCATTCCGTAGTTTAGCTTCGTAAAGTTACCGCATGCGTTGTCTCTGCACCACAAGACAAAGTTCACTTTAAGGTGTTCTTTGTCCCAAGAAATTAGGTTTCAGTGTGGGACAGAGAGTTTAACAGACACGAAATTGATGGGAGCCTGTTAGCAATTGAATCATAGTGTTTCCATGTAAAGCGATTTTTATGTTTTCAAAGCGACTTGTACATGAGTTGGAATCTCTACTATGATTCACCTGTTGATATCATGATTCACTCTCATCGGTCGCCCCTCTAGCGCACGAATGTTCGATATGATTTACAATGAAAAGTACCGTTATGCTAAAAAGTTATTAGAGAGATTTAGCAAGAGGACGGGAACGTCAGTTGACAATGGCGCGCGCAGCAAAAATACCAGTAAGAAACGGGGTCGAGAACGTCACCCCGTTGTGTTTCAGAAGTGATTTAGCAGTCGCTGCAACGAGACGCCAGGGCAATATCTGTTCTTCAATAGCCTAAACTTGGCTTTTCAAAGATCGCCAACACAAATTTTCGTTTTCACAAACAGCTTTAAGGACAACGAAACTATCCTCTATGAGAGTGATGCAACAAGCGCAAACAGAGGATAATTATAGTTACGGAAAGTTAGATGTTTATAATATACGAACCACATGGGCGATTAAACTCTATAATTGATCCATTCCAGGTAAGACTCGTGTCTGTTGATTCCTCTATCGAATTTTAGAGCCCATTAGATATTTTTTTTGCGATTTGTGTTGCTGTCTTTTCGTTTCGTGCCGTGCCATTAGATTTTAGCACTGCTCATCTTTCTTCGCAATTTTTGTTCAAGACTGAATTAAATTACTTGATTTAGAAAGTCGTGTCGAAATAGAATTGATTGTCATTTTCTTTTGTTGCGTGAGCCCAACTTTCTTGTTTTCATCGGCGCTGATTAAAAAAGTTTAAGACATAAAAAAGTGCAAACCCGAGAAAATTCTCAAATTGTTTATCTCTGACTTCAATCCACAAAGCATTCATTTATGATCGGTAAAAACGACAACGACAACGAAAACAAGTAAATAAAAAAATTTTACGGTATGTAAGCTTCGTGATTGTTCATTTTATTGACTGCTCCAAACTTCAACATGCAGCATGGTTATTGATGAATCGATTTACGATAAAATTCAACAGCATATATCCCATTCTTAGAGTTTTCACATAGGCTTAATTAAAGAAATGTATTAAAGAAAAGCCCTTTTATTGTCTAAAGCCTTGCTCATTCAAAAGCAAAATGAGTCCTGAAATCTTGGATCGCTTGCCAACGATTGTGTTCCAATTTCCTTTCGGGAACCACCATATTGAAGCGACAAGTTTTCAAAAATACACCGATTAAAACAAAGAAAGGGACCCAATTATCCTGAACATGAGTATTGAAATACTTCCAAACAGTATTATCTCATTTGGATCGGTTTACAAGTGCACAAGTGATGGAAATCTGAGACGTTCTGATCGCGACGGGAAAACCAGCAAAGTGACGTCCTAAACTTGTTTGGGAGAACGGCAACGCTAACACCGGAAGTCGAATGGTGTCGTGTCCAGACTATTCTGCGCTCTCTCCCGTTCTGAAATGACGTTCGCGTCCTCTTTCTAAATCTCTCTATTCTCTACGCACGAGCAACCGCACGCCAAGTTGCAGCCTCGATTAGCAGTATTTAACAATTATTGAGTTATTTTTTTGAAAAAAAAAAACTATATGTTAGCGTATAGATTGGTGTATTTTGGTGTAGTGTAACCTTTTTTTTTTTTTTTGGTGTATCTCGAAGCAATGTGACTGGCGGAATTTTTTGGTGTATCACAAACCAATCAGATTGTAGTATTTTTCGATGTCGCACCAATCAGATCGTTCTTGCTAATTTCTGGTTTGATAGGTCTTCAAATTTCAGCGAATCAGCGCGTGACTCGGTGAGAGCGGTTCGCGAATTAAGGAATTAAGTCTTGTTGGGAAAGCGGCGGAGTTGAGATCAACGTTCGACTATGGTTATTCTTCGTTCTAAAGGGGACTGAGTGGAACATGAGAAAAATTTTGAATCAAATATTGCTTGAGATGTTGACGGGAGCAACTTCAGAATACCCGGCCGCTACTGACTGTTAAAAATGGATTCCTCCCGCGGTCCCAATGTCGAAAAATTATGTTTAAAGAGAGGACATTTAAACCAGCGGTCCTGCATTCAAGCTTTCCTGTAGTCGAAGAATGATAAAATGATAGGGCCGTTTGACTAGTGCATCCGCAATCCCGCGCTCACGAATTCGAAGAATGATATAGCGAGAGGGCCGTTAAACTAGTGCTCTCGTAATTCCGCGCTTTTGAGGTCGAAGAGTAATTAAAGAAAAAGTGAGCTTTACCGAGTGTTGACGCAGTTCTGCGCTTAGTTTATTTCGTTTTCTCGACTGAGGAAATTTTGATTGCTATACATGAATTCCATTTTTAATTTCGCTGAAAGAATAAGGTAAGAATGACATCAACAAGAATTGTGAGCTCATCTACCCAGTGTAATGGCTGTCCTTCGTGAGGACTTTATCGTTATGATCTGTCGGGATTAGAAAGGTCGTCAGGGAATTTTTTCTACTGCCAATTGCAAGTTAAAACGTGCATGTTTTGTGTATAAATTAATAATGTATTGCATTGATGATCTTGTTTGTTGCCTTGTGGCTGCTCTTTTTGTAAACGTTGAAAAGACCATCAAGTTATATTATTTTCTGCGTCGACTGCCATGTTAAATATCTGTTTCTTTGCTTCTAAAAGTTGTCCGTGAATTAAATATTGTTTAAACAATACTTTCCCGCTACAACTGCGTGTTTACTCTTTACTCGCCTATATGGACTAGACTTTCGCAGGTGAAATGTCATTTTCCAGGAAACAACGTAAATTTTATGACATAACTCTGCCTCACTGAAAAAGATTTCACAAGGAACATAATGGTACAGTAGGTCCATTTTCCACAAAACTCTCGCGTGCCCAGACGTAACTACCAATAAAATTCGTTCTTAGCTACCTCGGACTTTACCCCATTGCGTGTCAAATCTCTGTAAACAACCTGCATTTTATCGCGTATTTGGCACACACGGGGTAAAGTCCAGATAGGCAACAACCAATTAAGAGCCCACATTGTTATGCTTTGAAAAACGATACTCTTTAACTTTTTCTTCGTTCAGTCTATTTTCACTTGTTCGAAGAACAGAGACCAGAAAACATCTTTGTCTAGAGGCTGTTGGAGATAAGATAAAGCTTTCCACTGCAAAATTATACGGAAGAATATTTCGAGGCGACTATTTGTTACTGAACAAGAGGCTACACGGAGCCTATATTCTGGCCGGATCTGCGGTTCAGCGGATTGAATTGAATTGGTTCGAATTGAAGGCGTTGTCTTTTTTTAGAAAAATCGCTGTCTAGGTGCTTTTCATTATTTGTTAACATGGAGAGTTATGGAGATTAAGACTTTGGAACAAGTTGATGTCATCCATGACAATTTGGAAATACTAAAATTGCTAGAGAAAATGCGGGGTCGCTCAATAAAAATTTGCATGTGAACGCGATGAGTTTGTTTATAAGGATTTCTCCTGCTTACATCTAATGACAAACCTCTGAAGTTTTTTTTGGCCCGGAACGATATTTCACTGAAGGCATTTTATGCACCGCAAGTCTTTTTGACTGATTGAAAGTTAGGGTATGTGGCACTGTCTTCTAGAAGTTTTTTTTTTTGTCAAAAAAGTATTGTTCTTTCGTCCGCTATATCAAGTTAATATTAATAGATCCAATCGCCAAAGGTTACTGAGATACGACCATGAACTTTTACTGTTCCCGAGGGTTCTTGTAAATAAATTATTTACAATATGATGTAATACAAAAGCGGGTACTAATTAGAACGTGACACCAAAACATCAAAGGTGTAAACTAGAACGGTAGAAAAGTGTTATAATGCTGTAATTGTTTGTTAAGTTCAGGTTTGATCTTATTTATGTAAAAAGCTTCTTTGAGTTTTAAATCAATTGAGATGTTAGCAGAATCCAGAATACTGAAACAAGAAGGGGAGTATTTGTTCTTATAAGAAGGAGATGTGTTGATATGCTTAAAAATAGGCGAGTTTTTATCGCTTTCCGTGTGCTCCTTTATCCTAGTAGAAAAGAGCCTGCGTAGCGGCCCTAGAGGGAAGGGAGTTGGATCCGAGCGGAGAGAGGCTTGGGGAGAGGAAAGGAAGGGCCTGCTATGAGAGGCCCGCACTCCGCATAACTCCCCCTGATTAATTATGCATATCGTGTTTCGAATGTCAATCAACAACTGTCAAAACTATCCAATCACGACGCGCCATTTTAAGACGTACGCCAGTGAAGCAGGGAAAATACTAACAATAGCAGAGCACTGACCCATGCAAACTGTCAAAACACTGTTGCACGTGGATGAAAATGTCGGACGACAAGGAAAATTTCAAAGAAAAACCCAAGAGGGGTAGGAAGCCTAATAAAGATATTCCGTCAATTTTCCGCTTTTGTGGAGATAACTTAAGAATCAAGCTAGGAACTGGGTTCAAAAGCTTTATTAAAATCTTTAAAGCAAATCAGAGGGAAGAATTCCAACATGTTATCGCGGACCGCCTTGGAGATCTTCGATTTTACTTCGCAAAACAGCCAAATCTCTCCCAAATTGTTTGCCTTACTTGTGCCCGAAAAGTGAACACTTTTTGCAAGTTTTATGAACTCTTAGAAAGGGCTTCATGTCCATCTTCGACGTATACAAAACATGGACCGGGGTCCATGGACCACCTCTATGGACCCGGTGATGAGAATCGCAAGCCTTAGGTCTAGCAGAAAAGCAGAATACTGTCTTCTGTGAGAAAAGCCTAAGAAAAAATAATAGCTTATACTCTCCTCTACTACAAAAGTTGGGAATTCCAAAATGATATTTTTTTAGTTTAGACAATGTCTCAACCGGAAATGGTTTTCCCCATTGTCAATTTTGACTTATTTCCACAGTTTTTTTTACGGAAATTGTAATGTTTATGATTAATTGGTAAAAGGGCTTCGTGTCCTCCAATTCTGTCAGTACGCAGGTCATCTGATTTTGTTAATCACTCGTCAGCGCTCCAATTGAGACAGTTTTGGTCGCCATGGCGAGTGAATGACATAGTGGGCACTAAAAGTTCGACTAAAGTCGCCATTGGCGACCAAAAGATTTGGATTAAAAAACAAAAAAATTTGGAAATTTAATCGATCCTTGGTCGAATTGTCAAACGAACAGACACAAAAAATCATCCCGTAAATCCCAAATACGATATAACCTACAATGAGTAGACCCTTTCCACTCTAACAGCCTACGGCAAAAAGTAATTACGTAAAGAAGCACTACTATCGGCCCAAGAAGGCGAAACAATACCACCAAGGAGTCGATTAATATTTTATTACGCTATGAAGTGTGCACTTGGCTTGATACTGTTTGCAGGACTACTCTGGCTAATTGAGACAAATTGCTTTCCCGCAAATGAAATTTACACCCTTAAGACACCAGTCGTTGTAAGAGAAAGAATAATTAGGAAAGGCATCAGTTACGTTACATTGAGATATTCGGACCCAGATGTATTTCAGATATGCAATTTGTTTATCATGTCTTATTCCATGTTATTCACAACCCTGTTCGTCTCTGTGAACAATTATTAACCACGAACACATAGTGTGGTCTGCCCATTCTGTCAACGTTTAAAATTTGACTGTGAATGTACAAAGATAAAAGGAAGAAAAGTCTTTAAGCGAAAGTTAAAAAAATCCTGACTGTAAGCATAGATATTTAAGAAATTCGACGCGGAGTGGCGAAAGAATCTTACCGAAATGGATAAAGGGCCCGTGATTTAAGCAATCTTCGCTGTCTTTACTCTGCCAGTAATCATGAACGAGTTCTGCAGCGGCGTGCTTAAGCTGCTTTAAGTTAAAAAAAAAAAATTGAATAAAATGAGACTATTTAGAAGTCCGCGTAAAACGTGCTTCTAACTTCTTCAAAATGTTATTTTTTAACAGGTAGATAGAACGATATAAGGAATTTAACTCCAGATGGGGGCAACAGAGTACGCTCTAAAGTGTGCACTTGGCGTGATACTGTTTGCAGGACTACTCTGGCTAATTGAGACAAATTGCTTTCCCGCAAATGAAATTTACACCCTCAAGACACCAGTCGTTGTAAGAGAAAGAATAATTAGGAAAGGCGTCAGTTACGTTAACAACCGTACCAGTTCAGAAATTCCCAACAATGGATCAGAGACAAAGCGTTGGTTAATAGTATATTGGTCAACGTTTTTTGGAACCAGACTCAATCTGCACAAGACATTCGACAAACACGACTGCCCAGTATCGTGTGAGTGGACAAGTGACCAATCCAGAGCAAAAGAGGCTGATGCTTTTTTAGTCCATGCCAGGGATCCACGACCTCTCCCTCCTATAAATACTGTGCCATGGATTCTGCAGACTCGAGAAAACCCAATTTACACACCGATATTGAGCGACGCCAGCTACATGTCCAAATTTAGCTACTTGAAAAGTTATCGGTTGGACTCGGACTTTCCAGATCCTTCTGTCTTGCTGCCTGGTGTACAACCCCCTGTTCCTTTTAAAAATAAAACTGGGCTCGTTATGGCGGCTTTCTCAAATTGTGAAGCGGTTCGAACCGAGTACATGAGGCAGCTGATGAAGTTTGTAAAAGTTGACTCTTTTGGCGCCTGTCTGAAGAACAATAATGGTCTAGTGGGCAGGTATGGTAAAAACAAACAGGGCACTGATTTCAGAGATGCTAAATCCATACTGGCCAGACAGTACAAGTTCACCCTGGTGTTCTTCAATCAAGACTGTGATTATTTTGTCGATGCTCAACTACACCACGCAATGGATGCAGGCTCGGTTCCCGTTGTCATGGCAACAGATAAGGTGGATGAGTTTTTACCCGGGCCTTATCTTAGTCGTTCAGTGATAAAAGTGCGTGATTTTAAGAGCCCACAGCTGTTGGCTGAATACCTCAAGTATCTTAGCAACAACGAAACCGAGTACAATAAATACCTGGAGTGGAAGAAGAAAGGATATGGCGACATCACTGGAACTGCTATCGGAAAGTTTTGGATGCCAAAGTATCCACTGTATTGTCAAGTCTGTGTTGCAATGTCAAAAGGGAAAGGGCACAAAGAAAGCTTGAAACCATTCCCATGCAAAGCAAGGCAATTTGAAGACTGGGGAATTACTAAAGGAGCCTGACTAAAGTGAACTATTGTCAGTTGTAGAGGACACCGTTAACTTGGGAAAAAATAGGGCGGGATTTATCACTCTTAAATGCATTTTCTCCAATCACAGCATGAGAATGTGTGAGCGGAGCGAGGCAGGGAAGCGTAAGCTTTTCTAAAATAGGGGTCGATTTATCTACAATATCAATCAAGATTATTTTCGGAAACTTACCGGGCCTGAAATGATGTTTGCCTTTGAAATGATAAAACCGTGAGTCATCTGCGTTTTCCTTCGAAGTGGTGACCTCGAAGAGTTGTTAGTTGCTTTTAAAATCTCATTAGCCAGTTAGCCTTACACACCCTAACATCAGTATGCATGTTCTCCCTACTGTTCTGAATACATTTCCTCGGGTGCTGACAAGGAGAATTTGTTTAACAATCAAGAGCTTCTCTAGTTGGTGATCATTTCTTAACTCTCATAACCTCAATTTTTGATTGAGGTATTGTATGGAGAAATTAGATGCTAGTCACTCTTAGGGATCAAAGAGTTTAGCAGTCAATTGTACCCTTTGAATGGCCTTTTGAATCGATCAATCCACGTAATGCGGATGTTATCTAGAAGTTATTCCAAAGGAATAAGTATCGTTTTTATAAACACGGGTTTGGGAAATGAGCAAGAAAAAGTGGTAGGTGCGAGAATACTAAAAGAAGCTAGAGCTACTTTCGGTTACTCCATTAATAACTCTTATGGTTCTTCCGTCTATCTCAAATTTCCCACGAGCATCCATAACTCCAACGCTAAAGATAAATCAATTTGTAAGTACGTAGTTTATAGTTTCTAGCGGTCAGGAAATATTAGAGGAAAAAAATTTTTCCAGGTCAGAGAAAAAGCAGGGAATTACGTCTTTGGAAGAGGTCAGGGAAAAGTGAAAAATGAAATCGTACACTTCCTTTTCCTTCTATTTTCATTGCTTTCTTCCGGTTCGAATTCTTTGGAAAATTTGTTGGATTGGTAGAATATTGGTCACCCTACCCTAGCTAAGCACCGGGCTAGCCGTAACCAAATTGTGAATGCCGGATAAACAACATAAATTTTTCTTTTTTAGAACTGTCTCTATCATTAGGTACCGGGCTAAACAACAAAAATAACGGCTGACATGGATCACATAAAAACGTCAGTGAAGATGGAATATAGTCTTTCAAGCCAAAAAATAAGTGTTCCCTTATCCTTAAAACTTGCTCCGCTTGTGCACTTGAAGTAAACGGTCATGTCTCTTCATATGTCCTTAACAGTCTCCACGGTTACCCTTGCTACACAACCATGCTATCTAGAGGTGAATGTAGCCGCTGAGTAATTTGGGGCGCATTCTCTGAGAGAGCATGTGAGCCGAATGCAACATGGCTTCCCGCCATGTCGATGTCAACGAGCGTCGGCTTCGTCCCGTTTATGGTACTTCTCTTATGCTTTAACAGTTGTAAAGTTCCACATGTAATTTAGGAATGATTTCTGACCCTTTTTGTGGTATATTTTTCAGATGCTTTGGACAGCATGAACAACAAACTGGCTATCCAACTCGCAGACAAAATTTTAAAGAAACAGAAAGACCTGTACTGCGCCAAGGTAAAAGTTATCTTCGAACTGCGTAAATCACGTCAAGTAAATTTGTGATGATGCTAAATATAAATTAACAAGGTAAATTCAGCTCCTTGTTTGAATTGCAGGCTCTTAAAGGACTGGCTTTACTGCGATCAGGAAAAACTGCTGACAGCGAGACTATTATGGAGGAAATTATGGAAGCGAAACCGGCGGACGATCCCACGCTCCAGGCAATGACAATTTGCTACAGGGAGATGCAAAAACGTAAGAAATGTTCAGAGTCGATTTATCAAAGGTTGCTTTCTCCAATTTAATTATTCAGATGAAAACTAGTAAATGAATAAGGTAACAGCAGGTGCCTGTTTCCATGATCCACTACCCACACTTAGTGATTAACCTACAACTTGTCCATACATTGTCAGTACAGTCACCGAGAAACAGACACCGCGGAAATACGTTTTCGTCACGTCACAGTAACTGGTCAGTGGTCATCAACTTTAGGCTGCCAAGTGCTTCCATATGTTTGTAGACTGAGTTCAATGAAGACATTGGCCTTTTGTGTGGTTTTAAGTAGGAAAATATGCATGATACTTCTCCTTGTTTGTTATATTTGATCCTTTGAATGGGTTTTTAATACTAAAACCCCGTCTTAACAATTAGCGGTATAGGGGAGTCATTTTGTTTGGAGTTGTGTGCTGTTTGCTGACTTAGACTGGCCGTCCAGTTAGGAAGTGTGATCTTGGTTCTTCAGTCGCCCTCACCTTCAGAATTGTCAAAAACAGCGATAGTTATCTAGACAAAGCAGGAGATTAGTTCTGTAAGATACTTTTCCAGCGAGTCTGAAGACTGGTTGGATTTTTAAGTGTTATTAGCATGAAGCGATACAAGTAATTATTGTGTTGTGAAAATATTCATACACTCACTTTGCGCTGATGTGCGGTGCTTTTTCATTTTGGTAATTATTCACTTGGTATAGAATTTTACCTTTACAACAACAACAACAATTTTTATTTATTCTAATTTCTAATGACTAATGACTATTTTAACAAATTGGACATGCCCACAGGTAGCTAGCTAATCGAGGTGTGTCATGTCTTAACTAAGAAAAAAGGTTGGTATACAAGTTTACAGAAATCAGGAAATTAATTAGAGAGAATAAGTATACAGGTTTACAGAAATCAGGAAGTTAAATAAAAAGAGTAGGTATAAAAACAAAGATACTACAAAAAT